AATTTTAACCACGCATTTTATGAGACCTTGCAACTTCTATCAATTTTCAACCGCATGTGTCATCGATTTTTATTAACATCTATTAAAACTTTTATCAAAAACTTTGTCAAACAATCCCTTAATTTAATTATTAATCATGTTTCACTGGAAATGTTATAGCTTCTCGTCACTCATCTCTTATGCTGGAGTTAACTAGATTTGCTCGGCATCTGCATCTTATGTTTCTTGTTCTATTCCGGTGAAGATATGTGGTATTGGAATGAGCTGCTCATTAGGATATTCACCATAATGGATGGAAAAAATCCTTCATCTTTAAAGCCACTTAATCTGATTTCCTATTAGATAATGCCATCGAGAGGTTCTGGAAGGATGCGAAAGATTTTGAATTGAATAGATTTAACAAGAAATGAAGCAGAAGTATGAGAAATAATAAACTAGGTTCTGACTTTCTGTCAAAGTCATTTTCTTTTGGTATAATATGACCACAACAATATTAAATGTATAACCTTTAATTTAGAAAATCTTCTTTTTCTATTGGATCATTCTTGACAACACTGTCATTTCCCTTCTCAATTGCCTATTACTCGAACACTATATTTAGTCCGCTGCATTGTTCTTTTCTTTTCTTCCCTTTTTATTTTGTTTAATTTTTGTGCCAGCTATATGTTTCGGTTAAACTGATGTTGGGTAATTAGATTTTATGATGCTCGTGGTTTCTTTTGCAGCAAAAGCTCTGCAGTATCTGCATAAGCTCGGAATTGTACATAGGGATGTGAAACCGGCAAATATTCTTGTAATATGTTTAATGATTTCTGTTGCATCTGGTTACAGCACGTTCCTGCATCTAATATTTTTTTTGACAGTACATTCTTCTCCGAGCAAGTAATTTTATGGTATCTTTTTTGTTTTGGGCATGTTGTGATAGTTGTGCATTGTGCTGCTGCAGCTTGACAAAAATCTGCATCCACATCTGGCAGACTTTGGTTTGGCTGAATACAAGAGAGATCTTAAACAAGTTTCTACTGAAAGTTGGAAATCATCTGGCAAGCCAACTGGTGGTTTCCATAAGAAGAATATGGTTGGGACGCTGATTTACATGGCACCAGAAGTATTGAGGAAAGAGATACATACTGAGAAGTCTGATGTCTACAGTTTTGGAATATCTGTCAAGTAAGTACTTGCAATAGACTGCTTTCTGGTTTATATAAGCATTAAAGGCAACTGCTGTGCTGTAGATGTACCTGAATTTTTAGTAACAATCAATCTTTCATAGAAAATATTTTAATAGAAAAACGGTTGTATGACTATTGACTTGTACCCTTTTTTTTAAAAAAAAACCTTAATTTTACTTTAATTTTGAGCACAAAAAAAAAAATGCTTGAATTGTTCATGGAAATAGCACCTCTTTCGTCTGTTGTTTCATCCTAATCTTACTGAAATGCAGAAATAGTCAAGTAAATTTACGAATGCTACACGAATTTAGTGATTTTTTATTACTTTTAGGATGTCAACTTTACTTCTTGCAGTGCCAATCTATATAACATGGCCAATGATCTTTCTTATGTGACTGCTAGAGTTTTTGCTCGTTTATTTTCTCTCTGGCCCCCTCCGTTTTCCTTAAGGTAACATACCTGGATTAGACTTGGGGAATTGAAATCTTAGATGTTGCTATGTCTAGTTCACATGATTCTTTTCTACCATGGTTTGAACAATCTCTCTTAACATTGAATCCTAAATGCTGATGTAGTTCATGGCTAACTTGAATTCTTTGATTTGCAATGTTGATAATACATGGATGCTGATGTAGTTCATGGCTAACTTGAATTCTTTGATTTCGCAATGTTGATAACACATAGAATTGTTTTCATTTGAAGCATAAACAGTTCTAACTGAAACTAACAATATTTTATTCAGGACATAGTAGTTTTTTTATATATATGTTAGTGCATTTTTCCTTGGCCCGTACCGAGCATTTGCACTTGTATATATTGCAGCGAGCTTCTCACTCGTGTAGTCCCATATACCGATCTTCGAGCTGAGGCACAGGTTACTCTTCCTTCTAATCATTCATTTCATTTCTTTTTTCTTACCTATAAAATTGCTCTGTGCTTCATATGGTATTTGCTGGGTGCTATGAAGTACGCTATCAATATACCAAGAAAAGAAGATGAATTTCCTAGTATCTTTTTTCCTTTTCGTCGTTCACTCAAATAAAGATTAATTTTCTGAAGATGTGGCTGAGTCATGAAATTCAAAACTTGAAGCCACTAACTAAGATTGTCTTATCATTTTTTCAAGAGCTTGCTACAGTGATTTTGTAGGGGGGAATTTGTTGTGAGTGATCTTCATCAAGTTAGGGTTAAAATGACAAATAAATGAAATTTGAATGACCATTTGAATTAACAGAGTTATTCAGCATCCATATATCTACGAGGAAGAATACATTCAAGTCTCATAATCCAAGAAAACTAGGTTGTAGCCTCTATATATTGTAATGACAAGTACATCTGTGTGGGAATTTAGGACACTTGTTTTTGAGTAATTGATCTTCCATAACTGAAATTATAAAATCATAACAATTTATCATGGCTGTCAATGATACATGCTGATGGCAGGCCCATACAGTCTTGGAAATGAACTACACTGAACAGCAACTTACAGCTGCTGTGGTGTCTGAAGGACTACGACCTGTTCTTGCCGGTCTGGATTCTGGTGCTTGCGCCAGTTTACTATCACTAATTAAGAGATGCTGGGATGCGGATCCTGAAAATAGACCTTCTTTTTCTGACATAGTTGTGGAACTTGCTCTAATATTGGAAAGGGAAGCTGGCTCTTCTAAATCTCTTGTATCTCATGAAGATTTGGATATAGCTAATATTCGAAGTTATCAAGAGAGTATTAACTGGTTTACCCATGGTAAATATTTTTCAGAAAGGGCTTCTCTACCCTCTAATGCAGCAAGCACCGGGATTGATTCATCAAATGATCCTTCTTCATACCATCCAGTGCTATCTTGGGGTTCCTTCTCTACTTGTGGGAGAAGGGAAACCATGGAGGACACACACTTTCTGATACCCCACATGTGCAATGAAAAGAATATCCATTTATTTGGAATATTTGATGGTCATCGAGGTATGTGCACCTTCCGGTGAAATGGTTTGTTTGGGACCAAATTTTAAGGGGAATCATAGGCTTAGATGACATCTTGTTCTATCGTTTTTTGAAGGATGGAAGATTAAGGGGTAAGGATTCGAAATGTCTCCTTAAGAAAAGAAGATACCTTATGTCTGTCCTTTAGGTTGACATGTAAGGAACCCGGTTTGCATCAATTTCCCTAAAATGTCATTTTAAAAAGGTACTAGTGAGGAAGAATAACCAAGAACAATCAAGCCAGCCTTGGTTTGACAGGTCTGAAGTTAAACCTCTTCTTAACTCTCCCTTTTTTCTCCTTCCCAGTATACTATAACAGAAGGTTTCTCTGTTCTCTTTCCCGGCTATGTAGATCAACCAAAATATTCCATAATAAGCTTTTGCATATTTAGCTCAATGTGATGCAAACTGCAAAGAAATGTGTTTGATTCCACAATAAGTGTAGTGTTAAAGTCTATTATTATTTTTTCCTTATGTTTTGAAGCTAGTCTACTATCTGTTTCAGTGTGTCCTCTTTCCTTCTCTCTTCTGCCAAATATATCATTAGCTTTAAAAAGAAGTTATTCAGTCCTCATGGAGCTAATTCATGAATTACTTGTACATTCTGTCCAAAAAATTCAATAGAAAAGAGAGAAGTGTTGTAGGAAATAGAACCATTTGATTTTTTATGCTGAAAAGTAATCGGAAATTAGATATGTTTCATTTTTAAGATATCCTTCAGATGGATGGATTGTCTTCTCTTTCAAAAAAAAGAAAAGAAAAAGAGAAAGAA